AACAATTAAAACTGTTCTTTGAAGTGCCATAAATCATCCCATCTCATAGTTTACTTAAGATGATTTAGGCCTAAAAACATTCTAGAAGGGACCAAAATTCATAGAAATTCAAATTCTTATCTGTTTCTTTTTGAGAAATCATTTGGCAACCCATGAAATTTGATGGCTTTCTAATAGGCTGGTGCTTTCTTGCCTAATGTTTCTACTTTATTGCTTAGTTTTCAATTTGAGGCATATATTTAATGTGCACCTCTGTCTTGCCTGAACCAACTTTGAGTACCTTGCAATATGCTTAACTTTGAAGTAGTTTCTGTCACTTCCTTCCAATATGAAAAGAACATTCAACATAAACCACAGTAATTATTGCCTTAAATGAAAAAAATACTCAATATTGTATCTGCTGCATTTGTAGCTTCTAAAAGTAGAACAGTTGAAATCTAACTAATTGGTGTGGGATACTGAATGCATATAACTGATAAACATACCAGGGTGATATTTTAGCAAGTTTAAAAGCCTGGAAATTGGTACAGAAACACAGAGCTCTTCCCTTTTTAACTATACAGGTTTTATTGCAGCATTGATCTTAACTACAGTTAAACCTAACCAGTTTATCTGCTTAGTCCGAGCATAAAGGTGCCTGACTGCTTAATCTTAAACAAGTGTAGAAAGCCTCATTATATTCACCCAAAGGCTAGGGCCAGGATGTTAGGGAAGCCCAGTGTGTGTGTGTGATCGAATTGTCATGTGGTACCTCAATTCTTACTCATTTTTTCCTTGGACTGTATTATTTTAATGGGTTGTGGATTTTTATATGATGTATAATCGATACTCAATTATACGTCTCCATCCCAGGTGAATTAAGCGATGCTGTGGATGTTCTTTTGCGGTGCCTGGAGGCTGTGGGGGTCTGGATGGGGAACAACAGGCTTCAACTGAACCTCGGCAAGACAAAGTGGCTGTGGGTTCAGGGCTCTTCCGTACCTGGGGTCTTACCATCTTTGGTTCTGGATGGTGTTACACTCAGATACAGTGCACAATCTGGGGATCCTCCTGGACTCATGAGTCCTGCCTGAGGAACAGGTGGTAACTGTGGCTAGGGAGGCCTTTGCTAACTCCATGTGATGTGCCAGTTGTGCCCTTTCCTGGATTGGGAGGCACTTCTCTCAGTCACTCATGCCCTGGTCACCTCCCATATGGACTACTGGAACACGCTCTACATGGGGCTACTTTTGAAAAGCTACAGCTGGTGCAGAATGCGGTGGCACGGGCAGTTATGGGTGTCTCTAGGACTGCACATGTAACACCTCTGCTGCGCGAGCTGCATTGGGTGCCGGTCTGCTTCTGGGTCCAATTCAACTTGTTGGTTATGACCTTTAAAGCCCTTCATGGCATGGGCCCAGGTTACCTGAGGAACTGTCTCGCCCCATTGCAGTGACCTGTCCCACCCAGTCTGGCAGGAAGGGTATGTTATAGACCCCGTCACCTAGAGAGTTTCAACTGGCGGGGTCCAGAAGAAGAGTCTTTTCTGACATGGCTCCTGCCCTCTGGAATATCTTGTCCCCCTGAGGTAAGTTTGGCCCTCACTCTGTTGACCTTCTGAAAGGGTATTGAGACCTGGCTCTGCCAACTTGCACTGAGACCCAAAGGGGGTTCGCAGCACTGGGGGTGACTGGTAGTCTGAGGAAGCTTTCTCCGCCTTTTTAGTTTGCCCTGTAGTTTTAACTTTTTTAGTTTAATTTTAACCTTTTGTAGTTTTAACTTGTATATTTTTCCTAAAATTTTATAGTTTTTTACTTGTAACACTGCCTAGAGTCACTTATACAGTGAGATGGGTGGCATATATAAATTTGAAAAATAAATAAATATTGCCTTTGTATGTATAGTTTGCTGCCCAGAGTTATGTACTTAAGATGGCAATTATATAAATTTATAACTATATTCACTTCAACCTACTCTCATGAAGGTATGCATAAAATTCAAAGTAATTTGGTAAACATAATTAATTCATATTGGTAGACTATTATTTTTTTTAATTTAGGCCAGAGGTGGTCAAACCACAGTCCAGGTCCTTCTTTTCATAATTACTAGCTTCCCAGATTACATTCCCAAAATTCAAATAAATATATTTAATGGCACATTTTTTCTTTTCTTTTTTATTTTTTTGGCTTAATGTACTGATGCTCCTTCTGAAAAAAAAAAAAAAAGAACCACTAATTCATGTGAACAGCAGAAGAGAAAATGAGCAGAAATTATTCTGAAACTGTCATCCAACCTCATACCTTACCTGCAGTTATTGGATTTTGTAATTATTTGTCAGTAACATTCTATAGATAACTAAATCAGTAAAACATTTACAGTCTAAATAAATTACCAAATGTTTCTGTATATACTAGAATACAAAAGAATTAAAAGAATATACTTCTCTTCTAAACATCTCATACATAACCACAATCTTACAAAAATCTTTAAAAAATACTATTTTGTAATTATTTGTCAGTAACATTCTATAGATAACTAAATCAGTAAAACATTTACAGTCTAAATAAATTACCAAATGTTTCTGTATATACTAGAATACAAAAGAATTAAAAGAATATACTTCTCTTCTAAACATCTCATACATAACCACAATCTTACAAAAATCTTTAAAAAATACTGTCACTGGCACAATGCATTCACTAATTTTCTTAAGATCTCAAAGTGACTATGTTCTTAAGTGTCTATTAAGAATGTCCATTGCTAAATGCACTTATTTCCAAATACGTACTTTACTGCTGTTAACAAATAAGAATGCATATATGCATTCAAATGTGAAAATATAAAGATACTCTTCGTATTCAATTTGAATTCTTCAGAAACCCTTCCTTTTTAGATTTTCACTCAGTTAATTTCCACTTTACAACTCATACATAATTATTAATGTACCGTCTGGAACAATTACACTGGAGTCAAGAGATCTGCTTTTGTTACTTGCATGCTGATATGAAAGACAGCACTGTTGAACAATGTAATTCATTTAATTAAACTAGCTAGTTCTAAAAAATGAGTTAACTTATACCTCAACAGGGAAGTTTTCATATTAGAATTCTGAAATGTATTGGGAGATAAAAAGCTTCTTTTTTATTTGATTTAACTATTCTTCATTTATTTAAACATTCAGAACTTTTGCATTATTAATATTAAATGTGAACACCAACAGCATGATACTGAACTCTGAATATGGATGAACAGCTCGTGGAATTCCAGTTTTAGGGAAGGACGCTGAGAGTTGAAGGTCAACGATATTTAAATTCCAGAAGATGTCAATCTGTGTAAGACTGGGTTGAATTCCATTTGTCACGGAAATATATTATTTCAGACATATGATTTCTTATTAACTTATCCAAATATCCTAAGATGAACAGGAATGGATGCTTGTGGTTTACTAACCTTACTATGCCTTTGCCCATTACTGAAACCTCTTTATCTAGGTTTATGCCAACTACAGAAGCATACTCAGACTGCAAATCTGTTTATTTAGGGAGAGTGAACTCCAACAGTATACTGTATGTTGGAGACATATTCCCTTATCTATCTTTTGACTGAACAATAACTCCTCTGTTTTGTCTCCATCTCATGCAGTTTACTACTTACATCAGACTCTGATTGAAAGAGGTTCATTGGCTATAATTAGTACAGACCAATAAAGCCAAACATCATCAGCACAGAGTTAATATTGAAATCCAAAGCCTTTTTCTAATATCTGTTCTAACAAAAAGAATATGATCAATGATATTAATGCAAACTTATTTCCTTTATCTAGTCCTAACATAAATTATTCCTTTAAGATGAGCACAGTCCTACTTAGGTCTTAGATCTGAAGCCAGCCTGAAATTCATCGGCATCATCAAACCATCCAGAAACCCCTGGAGTCAGTACAAGTCCCAACATCTTGCCTAGAAAAGAAATATGGCTGGAACAAATCTCATAGAAATTCAAAATGTTTTTTTTTTAAACAAGTTTCTCATCACCACCTCTTTGCAATCACACCTTGTTACAAATAGGTTTTTACCAAAAACCTTACTCACTGTTATTTTAAATGTTGTGTGGGGGGGAAGGTGACACATTGCAAAGCATAATGCTATTTCCAGCAAAATCTTTCTTTAGGAGTTACCACCAGCAAAAAAAACCATCAGCATATACGGAATGTTAGGATTTTTTGCCCTAAAATGCATCACTTGACGCCTTCTTGCACTGAATCACGTTGCCATTTTCATCATAGTCTAGATATTCTTTTTTTCCCCTTTTGGAACTCTTCTCTGTTTCCTTTAGTTTTAACTTCACTGTTTCCTTTTGTTTTGCTTTGAAATGATTTGATTCTGTCAACAATTCTACTAGCTACCCAAACTCCAAGCTCATTTATGAACAAGTTCATAAAGCGTCAGCCCCTTCATAGCTGCTGTGGAGCCATTTTCTTTTCATATTCCCACTGCATACAACCAATGATTACATTGTGAGAACTACCAATCTGTTCTTCCTCTCTATTTTCTCAAGATCTAACTAACCAAGATCTTTGGTAGAAATATGGCCTCAAAATGTTGTAGAAAGCTTAAGACAAACAAAAAGTCCATGCACCTTAAAAGGAGATTAGTGTCAAAGACTACAGTGTACCAAAATCAGAAAAAACATTCTTGTATGTAGACTCCAGTGATGGCAAACTAACAATATGTATTCCAAAATACAAGAGATAAGCAATTCTATGTGTATATTATTTAAAGTTACCCAATATGCCACAATTCTAAGTATCTGATGTACTGAACAGTGTCTTTTCACAGCTTGCCTTCATAGGATAATATTTTACCACACACCATAATTTCTCATTGTTTTGTAGGTATTCTCTGCCAACGCTAGGAACTATATTTAACAGTGTAACAGCTTTAGGTGTTGCACACCTGTCATTAGATCTTTTGTTTCCAAAAGCATTAATCCAAAACAAATGCAAGATAATGCATAGCCCTTACCACATCAGATTCTCTTGCTTTAGCTTGTGCTCCATGGTTTTTTAGTTTGCGTGCCTTATCAAGCTGAGACTGAAGTTTTGCAGCTAAATCCTTCAAACAGAACAAATATTGTACAGCGTAACTTTTTAAAAACATAAAATGCATTTTCCACTAAAATATTCTATGAATAATTTTTCAAACATTGCCTATAAAATAATTACTGATGCCACATAAACAGAAGCTTCATTATAACTACCCAAAGCTCTTGATTACAGCTGATCAATGTTTATCAACAGTAAATCAATTTAAAATTATGAAGACAAGCTTTAGAAGTCGCTTCTGAAGATAGTAATAGAATATTTTCACAAATAGATTTAATTATTTTATGACTCCAGGGCTATGAAAATATTTGAACAATTAGTCTAAAATCTAATTAAATCAATATTCTTGTCTCACACACCTTGTTCCCCATCAATTCTGCTTTTACAATCCTGGCTCCCAGTTTGTTCATTTCCTCATCACTGAGAATGTGCAGATTCTCATCCTCTGAAACAGATCTGGTCAAATACAGACACAGGGCATTACGCATGGCAAATAGGAGAAAATGCAATTCATTGTCTCAGTTGGAAAACTTGGCTGGGAGAAAGTGGCTTACAACAGTCCTATAGGGAGGTTCATTCAGAAACTGCAGTTCAGGCCCTGAGCATTTTACATCAGACTGCATGCACTTTTAAATATATTTTAAAACACTTTAAAATTTGTTAAGAATTTTTATTACTTAAAATCCCAAATTATAGTTCTCCTAGTTTTGATGCTAACTTTTAAAGTTTACATGACCTCTGCCATAGCCTCAAGAAATATGCAAGCATGTTACATTTGTGCAGTGCTCCATCTTCTTTATTCTACAAACTATATTCCATGAGAGACATGGGAAAACTGTAGTCTTCTAGAGGTCATGGAATGCAAATGCTATCAGGACCAGCTAGTGTGATCAATACTCAGAGATGAGGAAGCTGTAGCTTGACATCTGAATGACAAGAAAATTATTCTCTACTTACATAACCTGGTCACTCATAGTTTGAGTACTGTATATTTTAATAGGGAACAGCACAACATTCAAGATTTATCACGAAACCATAGCAAAAACTAAAACTGAAAACTTACTAAAACAAAATACTCTGCATATTACCGGGAAAATGAAGAGTGTTTCTGACCCCTGTTGAGTTATATGCTCCAGTCAGCAGATCTCGCAGAATGATATGATGGCAATGTGTGATACTTCCAGTTAAATCAAGGACAAACTAATTCTTGAAATTAAACCAATATTTTTTTAAAAAAAATCTTCTCTTGAAAATGCACTCTGACATTGTATGATATACATCTTATAGAAAGAAACTGGAGTTTATATGTTCTTAATAATGTAAACTGTTTCCTTGCATTTAGTCATCCATGAATTATTATGGAATTGCCCCACATGTTCTTTATTTGTGTAGTGTTATAAAATCATATGTAGTGGATAAGTGTATCTATAGGAACTTCCAGTTCAGAGTCTATTACAGGTAGTCCTCACTTAACAACCACAATTGGGACCAGCAACTCCATCACTATGCGATGCAGTCATTAAGCAAGACCCCATAGGATTGCGATGGACTTACGACCTCGCTTCCACTGTGGTCGTAATCACCCACAGTCATTAAGCAGATAGATGGAAATCTTTAACTGCTTACTAATTTTTGATCCCCACATATCAACTGCACATATGTAGAACCACAGATAAGACTGCAGATAATAATGGCTACCTATACTTTTAAAACAAGGGTAAGGCAAAATGGTGCCATTATATTCAAAAACACCTCCCTTAGCTTCACCAGGCTCCCTGGATCAGCTGATATTTTTTTCAAGTCTTTTAATGAATAATAATTTGGCATGATGCAAAACACAGCACCAGCCTCTAGGATGCCTCTGAGACCCACATGGAACTATATACATTCTGTGAAAATAAAAATAGAAGGTGGCTGCAACTTACTGCTTTCTTTGAAAATGTGTCCAAACATCAATATACATACCCAATTTTTTAAAGTGAAATAAAGGTTTAGGGACCCTTATTGGGATGTAAGGAAGCAAGCCAACCTTCTTGGAACTAAAAATTATGCTGGGGAGCAATTTCTCCAGCTTGTCTTCTATTTAAAAAAAAAATGGTAACCATTTTTTAAACATTCAAATTGTCCATGGTTGCCATTTTATGAGAATGCCCATACTATGATTCCAAAATTCCAAGCAGGTCTTAAAGTATATGTATTTTAGATAAATTCAAAATGTGATAAAGCAGCCATACAACTATAAGACCATTCTCTCCTTCAAAACAATAAGATATTTAAATACCCGAAACATGATGTTTTACTCTCCAATGGCTCCTTTGTTTCCATTGCAGTTTCTGAGATCTCTTCCCCTTTCTCTCTTGGCTCTTCCTCCCTGCTGGTAACAGTCATATTAGCTTTGGATGGTTTTTCATTTAGGGTTGCTTTTCCAATTTCACCCTTAGGTTGTGCTTTGCGCCATCTTGGGATCACATCAGCATCATCTACAGGTTTCCGGAAACCACAGCTCATGCCACTAGGAGTCAATAATTGGGATGGGGTTCTCTGTTGTCTGCCTCCTTCATCACCCTCATTGTTAGGTTTCAGAAATGCAGCTTTCAGAGAGCTTGAAAAAGGTTTCTCATAATGTTTTAATGGATGAGGATCTTTTCTGGTTCTATACGTCAAGTCTGCTACTGTAGATTCTTTATTACTTGGCCTTGATTCTTTAGTCTCTGTCAGTCCATTTCCTTTGTAATTTCTCTGTTCCTCAGAATATACTTTACTATGCTTCTCTTTAGGTTGTTCTTTATATGAAAACTTTTCTGGGTTGTTTTCCTCCTGCTTCTCTTTGCCCTCCCTCAAAGTACATTTGCTTTCTGAATATTTGTATTTTTGCCAGTCTCTTCTACCAACATTTTCTTTTTGGACTGCAGCTGTCTCAGCTTCTTTTAACTTTGACTGAAATAGCTCTACTGACTACAAGACAGATGAAAAAGCACATTATTTTCGTATAAAGAAAATACTGTTAAGATAAACACATGAAAGAAAAACTGTAATGTTAACTTTGAAATGAACATCATTTGAAATTGCTATGAGTTTCACAAACCTGGTAATAACTCATGAAAAATTCCATTTTTACCCAAATGTTCCCTCCAAGAAATTCAGGGTTCCAATCACTCTTTTTATTTTTCAAACTACTAGTCCTTTGCAGATTTTTCCTAGTGAGCTTCATAGCTGAACAGGAATTTATTTATTTATCAATCAATTTAAGAGCTGGCTCAATCGTCAAAGTAACTCTAGGTAACATAAAATAATTAATAATCACCTGTTAAAAATGGAAGAGGAAACACCATAGTAACAGCAAGATTAAACACCATGTCATGGAAAACACCCCCAACCCCCAAATTAAATATCCAACCTCAGCTACAAGTTCAGAAAACAGCCTGCCCCAGGGCCTGCTGAAAAAGCCAAGTATTCCACAGTTTCCTAAAAGCCAGTAGGTTCAGCCATTCAAGGAGAACACTATTCCAAAGGGGAAGGGTGGCCACAAAAATGGCCCATCTACAAGGTCTCATCAAATTATATTGTTTTTTATCAGTGGGACCTGGAACACGTCACTCCTGCCAGATCTTAAAAGACAGGCAGAAATAGCTGGAGAGGGGATATCAAGCCCTGAGCCATCTGAATCCAAGGCTGTCAAGCCAATGCAAACTAAATCTATTAGCCCATATTGATATATTGGCAGCAAAACCCAACCTTTTCTCCATTAAATGACACACTTCTCCATACATCCTACGCATATTCACTCAGGGTGAGAACATTTATTTCCACTAATTTCATTATGAAAACTTCAAAGGACACTCCACAGGGTTCGTTTTCTCTTTCTTCTCCAGTGTATATTTGATTAATTGGAGCCAAATCTGTAAATTATTTCTACTAGAACAAAGTTAGCACTGATTTTCAAATTGGTGCACTTATATGAGTTGGAAGAAGCAATTTAGACATAATGGTCAACATGTGCAGTTTGGGCCCAGAAAGCCTCTTCTTCCCTTCCTAAAGCAATTCTCCAGGGTTATGCATAACTTCTGTTAGAAAAATCAGCTATATTTATCAATTTTTGATAGAATTAGAAAACAAGGGATTGCACCATGAAATGTTATTTATTTATTTGGTTTATATAGCCTCCCATTTTATGCACCATAATCCTGGGCGGCTTACAATAAAAATAAGAAAAAGCACAAAAACAGCACAAAAACTGCAGGCGCCTCCAAAAGCAACACCCCCACCCACATCCACAAAGAATTTCATTGGTCTCCAGCCTCACACTGCCCCAATGATTAGGGGAAAAGCCAGATCTTCAAGGTATTTGGAAGGCTAGGAGGATAAGGGCCTGTTGGATTTCAAGGAGGAAGGGTGTTAAAATTTAAACCAATTTAAAAAATACTCTTCAACACAAGCTATACACTATAAAAATAAAGTACTTGTACTTCTAAATTGTATTTATACACATGAATAGAATTATAGTTATTTTATATCTATCGCCAAACTCATTATACAGGAGGCCCACAGACCTGTTCCCCGCAGTTCTGCACATCCGTGGTAGCTAAACAAAGACCAGACCTTCGTATGTTTGCAAAGGGTTTTTGTGCACCCATGGTCTTGGCCAGTGTTGTCCAAACTTGGCCACTTTAAGATGAGTGGACTTTAAGATGCTGGCTGGGGAATTCTGGGAGTTGAAGTCCACT